TGGTGGCTGTTTTGGAACATTTTGCAAGAAATGAGTCAGATTTCCTGGGCAAACTGGTAACCGGTGATGAGACAGTTGATGGATCTACTGTTATCTTGAGACAAAGGAACAGTCTAAGGAATGGAGGCACAGCTGTTCCCCTAGGCCAAAGAAGTTCCGAGTGCAAAGGTCGGTGCAGAAGCAAATGGCATCAGTTTTTTTGAGATAAGAAGGGAGTTCTGCTGGTGGACTACCTCCGAGAGGGTTCAACCATCAATGCAAAATATTACTGTGCTTTATTGACGAAGTTGAGGCAAAACATCAAGGAAAAACATCAAGGAAAGCTCTCCAAAGGTGTCATCCTGTTGCATGACAATGCCTCGTCACACACTGCAGGTGAAACAACGGCAAAACTGATGTCCTTAGGCTTTCAAGTGATGCCCCATTCACCCTATTCTCCAGATCTGGCTCCTTCTGACCATTATCTGTTCCCCAACCTCAAAAAACACCTAAAGGGACGATGATTTGTGAGTGTTCTGGAGGCAACTAATGCTGCAAATGAGTGGTTACACCAGCAGTTGGAAGAATTTTATTTGCAGGGACTTAAGAAGCTGCAGGACAGATGTCACAAGTACATTGACTTCCTGGGAGAGCATATAGAATAGTGTGGCAGTTACAGCTTTCTTAGCTCAATGTTTTTTGGGAAAGGCTCAATACTTATCAGCACCCCCTCATAAGCCCTACACCAAAAATAAGCCCTAGTTAAATGAAACCCTGCCCTCCACCATTGTGAAGCAAGCAGAAAATGCCATGACTGTACATTTTTGAATAAATGTAGATTGTTGTACATGAAAAAAAATAAAACATCCCCTGAAAATAAGCACGAATGCGTTTTTTGGAACAAAAATTAATGTAAGACCCTGTCTTCTTTTCGGGGAAACAGGGCATTTCCTCTGCAAACGACTCTGCCTGTGCCCCTTCCATGGGAAGCCCTCTGCTCTCGCTGCCGCTGGGACAACGGCGGGCCCGGCGACTTCACTCTCTGCTAGACACCCCGCAAGGCAGCAGAGGCTAATGGGCAGGCTTGCTTGTTTGAAATCTTGCTATATGGCGTTTTGTTCACTGAACTAAACTGAGAGGTGGTGTTAATTGAAAACGCCGGCAGACCCGCGGTGGCCAATTTATTAAAAAAAAAACTTGTTGCGGAGTATGGGGCAAGAGTGCTCGGAAGGTCTTCAAAACATACCAAAATTATCTTCCCGCTCCTTAGAGGGCCCCGGGAAGCTTTCCGATCAACCTTTCCCCCTAAAGTTAAAAGAAACCGGGAGGGGGGCGGTAGGGATGGCAAACGGGGCCCCCCTCTTCCCCGCTGCTTTCGGGCCACCTCTCCCGCCAACTCTGCCTCTTCTTACTTTCCGCTTGGCCCGGGCGGGCACCCTACTAGTCGGGGCCGGGGAGCGCGCCGGTTCGAGGCTCCGCGGGGCCTCTTGCGGCCTTGGGCCCAGCTGCTCTCGCCCGTCCTCGGCTCCCCGCTGGAAAGGGGAGGAGAGACCGCCTCGAAGGGGTGCCCTCCGCCTGCGAAAGCTCACCCTGCGCTCGAATGGACTTATAAGAGCGCCCCACTTGACGACCATCCTCACCCGGGGCGTAACGCCGGGACACCTGACAGGGCCGCCCTAAGCCGTGTTTTCTCGGCGTCAAAACGGGGGTGGGAAGAGAAGTCCGGGCAGCCAGCCACAAAAACGCAAGGAAAATTTGTTTCGTTAAAAATGAAAATGAAAAACACGCGACACACGGTAATCATCTCACGAGGACAGGGATATCTGTGCTACCATGAATAAACTATTTACCACTACTCGATGACTTTTACTTTCCCTCCGACCTACAATCGTGAACATCTTCGTTAGACATCCACAGTTCATTCCTTCACAGTAATTTGAAAACGTGTAATCCGGAAACTCCCCACCCAACGACTGCGCTATTTCCTCTCTCCTCCCACCTTCCTGCCCTTCTAGGATTTTACTGCTTTCCTTCTTGCTCCAGCGCCTTCGACTATTGGCTGGGCGAAGCTGGACGGTCATGAGGCGCTAGGGGCGAGGAGTCGAGAAAGTTCGAGAGGAGCGCCGCTGCTTGGCGAGAACAGCCGGAAGAGGGAGGGCATCGCCTGAACCTTCCCCCCCCGCCCCCGCCGCCGTTCGATACGCCGTTGGAGAACGAGGGCCGCGCGCAGGCACGTCCACCTGTTCCTTCCGCTTGGTCGCCTCTGCCGGCATGGAGGAGGTGAGGCGAGGCGAGGCGGGCGAGTGGGGGAGGGGGCTCCTCCCCCTGGG